AGAATATGCTGCAAACATGGCTCATTTTGAATGGCTAAACATATCCCTGATAAAAAATATTAAAAAATATTAAAATATTAATTATAATTTTGTAAAGATACTCAAACGCGCGAGAATATATACAAGACGTACGACCGTATATCATGTGTTAACTTATACTCTCTTGAGAAAACATATCCTTCCTTATATTCCGCAATAAAAAGGAAAAACGACTTTCGGAAGGAAAAAAGTCTTCTCTACATTGTGATGTAGCTTCCTCGAGGTTACCTAACATTGCCAAGGTCATTGCACGGATCACAAGCACCCACGTCCTTCGAGCGGAATAATAGATCAAGTTGCAGGGAATCTTTCGAAGGATTTTCCACCCAACTCCCACGCACCATCTTCCGGGCATCGGTTGCTCGTCCTATGAGTCAGCGTGTCACCATGGCTACAGGACATCCCTCGCCCCAGTATCATCACGAATATATATATACATATATATATAGAAATGCGTGTACACAATTTTCACCCTCCCGTTCCCTCCGTGCTCTCTCGACGCTTTTCGCGTCGCCCTTCGATTCTCCGCGACAACCTCATAAATGCGAGATTAATTGCGAGTGTATTTAATTTTAACACGCCACACATATATAGAGAAAAAAGAAAAGAGTGCAATATCCACGTCCACGTAATTTTCTGTCTGAGCGAGAAACATCAATGTGTGTTGCAATCGCTTTCGCTTTTTCATCGATCCTCTCTAATTGGAAGCGATAAAAGGAAAGAAAAAAAAAAAAGCGTGTGATTGAGAGAGGTATTCACATAAAATAATATATCCAAATGTGACTAAGTCACTTTTTTTTATTAAAATAAGTAAAAGTAAACTCCAGCGTCGTTTATAAATAAGAACTTAACAAATATATACAGCATCAATTGTCGTGTATAAAATAAATTGATATATAAAATCACTCTGTTACAATCTCTCTCTCTCATTCCAAAGAAAACTTACTACTGGGGTGGAACAAATCGACTGTAGTATCGCGCGCGTCCGAGAATACATTCTCGCTTGATAGAGAAAGTGTCTATTTCCCGTATATCCTACAGCACGACTGCGAGAATCGAATCAAACGCAATAAAGTCATCGACGCTCTCGCAGTTGCAATGCAGCCTGATATGTTCTACGTATTTCTTTGCAAACTTTGGATAAAGTAGATATAAAATGTTTGTTTAATATATTTATAGACAATTAAGCACACATGAGAAAGAAGCTGTATTGCAAACTTTACCATTCACATCGCAGTTAAGGAACTGTTTGCGAAATATACCAAGTGTGCGGTTGAAGAAAATCAATTTGCTCTGCAAAAAGAGCAAAGTTTCAAGCAAGTAATCGAACTTTTCTTGCGATAAATTCTTAAGAAAAAAATTATAGCGCAAACAATATTACGTTCTCAAAAGCACTCGTTTTGATAGTGAGATCGAAGAACACCATGCGGTGGAATATGTTATTAGAGATTGCGTTCCCCACGATTCGTACAGAAAAGTGAGTGTAGTTGGGGTAAAGATGGCTTAGAAGAAACCCTAATCTCAAGAAAATCGATTTGAAAGGCTGAATTGCGATTCCTCTTGACGCGTGACATGCACAAGATAGAAATCCGTCTTATAATACGGAAAAAGATGTCTATAAGTGATAATATGGTTCGGTCGCCCGAACATAATTTGTTCGGCATCTTAGAAATAACAATAATATTAAAGTGTTTCTTAAATTTGAAAAAATTCATTATCTCTTTTCTGTAGAACAAATAATACGATATACAATATAAGACTTTATAATATTAAATTAATTTTCGATTTGCTTGGTCTTCGAGAACCAATTTAATCAGATTTCTTCTAATGCTTTTCTGTGAAGTCATAGATTTTATTAGCAACAAAAATTTTGATCATTGGTACATTTAACGTCCTGCAGCTTACATCTTACATAATGTATATCTATCTTGCTTCTTCAAATCTCTCATTATCGCATCGAAAGATCTCTTCTTCCTCATCTATCACCAATATCGAATCATTATTATATGTTTATTTTGTTGTTTACTCACTTTGTTGACACTATAAAAATTAATGTTCTTAGCTATCTCGTGTAAGGAATAAATTATTCCCCTAATCTTGAGTAAATCGATTTTGCAACGAGCAAATGGTGTTCTTAGCTTCTTGTAAACAACCCGTTTATCGTTTATCTTTTTAAATTTATAGCAATGATATAAAATCGTGCAAGAAATTATTAATCATAAATAGAACTTATTTGAGAAAAAAATATTATAAGGAATATTTGATCAACAAAAAGAAATATATTCTTTAACACTAAGTATTATTGCGCGTTATTCAATTGAAAATGTTTGCACTAAGCGAATAATTAAAATCATTTATTTTACGCGTGCAAATTACTAATCAAAAACTGTATATCAATTTTTAGAATACTAGCACAACACAAGCGCGTGCTACGTGCACGATATTATTGTTTTTATTTTAACGTGTAGTGTCAGTGGACACAACCTGTCACCGCGATGACAGCTGGTATAAAACGTCTTACAAACCATATAATACACATATGATATGAGAGACGTCAGAAATAACGCGTGAAAATCAAACTCAAAAAATAAAAGCAAGAGAAAAGAATGAAAAAACAACACGTGACTAAAGTCACGTGACAGGAAAAAGAGTAAAAAAAATATATATATATTATATATAATATTCTATATCTATACATACCTAATACACACACACACACACATATACACCGTAATCACGTGACCAAAGTTAGTGACCCCGCAATGATCACGCGGCCGAGGTCAGTGACCCCCCTCCCACCAAGGCCGCGCGGCCGGGTCAGTGACCTCTCCAAGGTCGCTCGGCCGGGTCAGTGACCCCGCCAAGTCATATAATACACATTAGAGAGATTTCAGAAATAACACATGAAAATCAAAATAAAGAAATAATTAGAGGGAGAAGTGAAAAAACAACACGTGACTAAAGTAAAATTATGTGACTGTAGTCGTGACAGGAAAGAAACACCGCGTGTTTTTTCTCTCTTTCCTGTCACGTGATTTTACTTTGGTCACGTTTTTAAAGACACGTGACTAAAGTCACGTGACTTTGTTTTAGTTAAGTTTTTGAAGACACGCGCAACGAAGTTGCGCTCGTACGGCGCAAAGCAATACCGTGCTTCTTGATTCGCACAATATGAATCGGGAAACACATTCAAGAAACGTCTAATCAGCGTCAAGATAAAAGCGGCAACAATCAAGATCCATAGAATCGATTGTGATTATTTACACACGTTTTTTTCTGGTAGGATTTGCAATATATATCACGATATATGTACATCTGTGTTGTCAGTTCTAAAATCTCGAAACTATATATTGTGTCGCACGATAGTGTTCAACAATTCTGCTGGGAGTTGTTAGGATAAATGTGACTATTTCGTGAGAGTGACTATATCGCTCTCCTAGACGGAAGAAAATCGATTTCTTCGACGGTGAGAGAAAAGATGAGGGAGAAAGCGGAGGAAATAAGGGGTGGTTTCTACTTTGCGGAATCGCCGACCGGAAAGATGGGACCTTTCCTATGGAGTTGATAAGATGCTCCTATAGACTTTATCTTGTGTTTTTCTTCAAAAAATCCAAAGTTGTACGGTATTTCTGAAGAGTCAAATGATTTTATGCGCATCTTATTTCTCGTCCACATAATAGCGCATCTGCGCGTCAATAACGATATTACGGAACATTCCGAGATAATATATTGGATATTCACATGATTCAGAAAATGATTTAAGAAAGACAAACCAACAAGAGAATGTTTTTTGTTGACTTTTATTGTCTTCTTGTCCCTATGGATGCTAAATATTTTTAATATAATAAAAGAGTGTGTCTACATATATTTACAAGTATATAAGTCTGAACATTTCACAAACGCGCGAGTGTAAATTCATGAGAAAACAATTTTAAATGTTATCAAAATTATTTCTCGCAATACGTAATTTAATATCTGCAGTAATGTAATAAAAAAATAATTAAAATCATATTTTCTGTTTCTTTTTTTCCCCTGATCTGAAAAGTATTGTTACTACAAAAACATATTGTTACTAAGAAGAGTGATAGTTCTAATTTCAGTATATAATTTGCTTTAAAGCGCACCATTTCAGATTAAAAGACTAAATGTTTTGCGACAATCGTTACTGCTATATTGCTTTGTGCTAGCATTAGGCCTGTAATCCTGAGATTAATTGCGTTTTCGCGTGGAATAAAAAGCATTCGCGAATATATATATATATACGTATCAGATGATGCTGCAGTATCGAAAACAGCAACAGCGTGCATTAGTATATTAGACGGAAAAAAGCATTAGAAAAAGAAAGCGTGAAGGCGATTGAAGCTTGATCGGAATGAGGATCGGGCTTCATTCGGGGAAGTAGATTAAAAGTTTGTCGAAGAATTTTCCGTGGATAAGGAAGGCAATTCAGCACGATCGTCTGTGATATCGATCCCAGAGTCGGAGAGAGGTATGCGCGGCAATTCGAGCGATGTCTCTCGTTACAACTCGACTATCTACTCAAATTCAAGAACTTGCTCGTATTTTCCCTACGATGCTCGAGTTACGAACGATTGCGTCGGTAAATAGCAGCAGATCGCCGGGGCTATGAGTTAACTCGATTTTATCCGCATTTCCAAGCCTCCATTTTCAACTGAGAGAGGAATATATATATATCTTACTCACTCACATACACTCTCTTATCTGCGCAAAGTTGCGACTCGGGTTATGAATCGCTCATCCGTCTCTTGCAATTTTCATTGCATTCGAAACAGCATGTGGACCTCACAAATTACCGCGCAAATACAAAAACTCGAACGGAAATATAGAGATAAGACCGGAACATCATGTCCTTTAATACGTTTATAGCAGAAAAGATGAGAGGATACATCGTTCATACACTCTCTTGTAATGTATAATCTAACTGAGGATAATAAACTTACCGAGTAATAAACCGTCTGTGCGTACGTGTACACATATATAGTGAACAACACACGGATCTGAAACCGAGATAAAGTTTTTATTAGATAGGAAGTAAACACGCCTGGTGTTTCGCGAATTTAAGAGAAAACTGCAGGAGCGTTTGGTTTCTCTATACAAGAAGTAATTTTATAAGCTTTTAAAGAACAACGGTTTGAAACCAGAGTGAAGCAAGAAATACATAAGCAATTATAACAATATAACATCAGAATTAACATATATATGTATTTTTGTGTTAATTTTGATGTCACGTTAACATTGTTATGTGCCGAAGCGTTCCTTGAATAGAATATAAAAAAATGTAATGTACAATAAAAAGAGAGAGAGAAAGAAACAACATTACACACAGTTATATTAAATGTGAAGCGACTAGCAAGATGATTGCTATATCGTGTTAGCATGATATGGCAGCACATCATTCGCAATCAGTTTAAAGCATCTTGTTCCATAGTTTCAGAACTTGCAAACTCATCGACACAAGCCGATACATGCACGTGCAGCATTAGTGAAATAAAGGCGGGAAAATTGAGCAATACAACTCCGCGGAATTGAAGAAGTTATCGATCTTCTAATAAGTCTAATACAAAAATAAAAGTTTCTGCTATTCATTCTTTATACATTGATATATCGCACAAAGAAAAAAAACTTATTCGAAAAATGAGAAAGAGTTCCAAATCTTATCCGACACACGTTTTTTTATCTAATAAAAAAAGATGTCCTTAATTAATTAACGGCACGTATTAACGCACTCCACAAGTTTTCGCACAGATAAGCCACCTGATTTTATTAAAATAAAGAAATTGCTATTATTAAGACAGTCATAGAGTTCGACGAATAAAAATCTGCAATCTTGCAGAAAGAAGAATGATCGAACATTTATTAGAACTATTATAATAAAATCCGTATATGGATCAAGATATGTAAACTGTTCTGAGTCAGCGATTCGGTATGAGTTTAGAAATTCTGCTCATAAATCTTTGTATGTTTGTAATTCTATAAACTCTTCTTGGACATAAGTTTATGTTTAATATGTATATGGTTTATAACTTTGTTCATCTAAGTGATTTCATTAACACATAATATAAGTTTAGCTTCATTCTTTGCGGACACCTTGTATGTATATTTATAAGATAACATATTTATAAGTATCTAAACTAAGTATCCAATTTATGTGTGTATATATATATATAGCGATATTAAATTTTGTATGTACAATTGCAACCCAAATAAATATCAATAATTAATTAAATCCATCATTGCAATAACTTTGTCTTAGAGAATGTAGTTTCTAAATATATATATATATATCTTTATCTGTTTCGGCACCCTTCGCTCAGTTTGCCGACAATCTTGTGTTACACGCAAACTGATTTGCGCGTCGTCCTAAATTTATCGATCGCATTCTGTCTCACGACGCAAATATCCGAGAACATTAATTAACCGCCTTGGCGCGACCGAGCGCATCTCGATCGACGAAGTCTCTTCTTATCAAAGTTGAAGTTCATACGCGATTATTACCGACCCGCACTGTAAGCGCGGATCAATTAGGACACATCTAATTTGCCGATCCGCGTATCTACTTGTATAATTATACGAGTTTCGAAACATTTACATGCGCTTTATAATATGTTTCAGTACAAGTGAATATATCGCGCGCACTGGAAATTAAAACAAAATTATTTAAGTTTCTTGTCAACTTTTGTGTAACTTCGATGTATCTGTAGTTCTTTCTTTTTGGTACATTTATATATTTCATATAAATACAGTTACATATTTATAGATCTAATTTTCAATGATTCTATAAATGTGTATCAAATTTTTTAATTATGAGAATCAAATTTAGAAGCTACGTAGCTATTTATTTATGTATTCAAGAGTCTCAGAAAGGAAAAAGAAAAAAGAAAAAAGAGAAAGAGCAAGAAGAAAAGTCATGTCAAATTATCCACGCGTGGATACATTTCCAAACTTCATTACTCTAAGTAATGATAAAGACTAAGCTCTCGTTCGGGTAAATGTCCTTCACGAGAGAAATTTACTCGCATTTAATTATAGTTTTATATTTGCACAAGCGCGCGCAAAGTACAATATTATATATTTTTCTGTGATATATTAGAAAAGAGATTGTTTTCTCTTCTTGCAGAATGTCTATTTTTCGAAGAAAGAAAATCATTAATCTAGATTTTACTGAGAAAGAAAAACATTAATTTCTTTCTTCATTATCTGTTATGACATTTCTTATACATGGGGATTATTTTTCTTTCTTTGCAGAAATGTTGGCGCATACATACGAACACAGATTTCTGACATGTATTTTTTTATTAGTGCACAATCTACAACAATTTTTTCATACGTCAAATTCTTTGACGTATGAAAGATAGAATATCTCGAAAGAAACGCATTGGAGATTGTCTGTTAATTATCGCTATATTATTACATAGACCGCATATTTATATTTATCGGACCAATGCGCATCGACACGCGACGTTGAATATTTTTTCGAGAAAAAAACCTATTGAAAGAGAGACACTCTCTTGTGGCATTCGATATAGCATACGAATAAAAATATCAATATCCTATTAAATTTGTGCTTCTCTCCCCGCAACGATGTGTAATCCCGTGGATTGCACGGCAACGCGCGCGCGTGTCAATGACGAACGGTATATAGACGCACGTGGATCGTTCTCGGGACGACGAGTTTGACACGTTTGCAGGCCGAGCGAATCTCTCGACAGGCTGCGTTCGCGTTGCTATTTGCGTTTCGCTGAAGGCACACACGCCGTACATCGTTAATTCCCGTACGTTTCGTACCTCCATTTTCGCCTCGTGTTTGGACGGTCGCGCGCATACACACCCCAGAATAGCTCGATACGCGGCGACCGTAAATTCGCGCCGAATTATACTGACGCGCAATTTGTGAATTCGAGAAACCGCGACGACGTGCGAGATCAGCGGTGTTCAAGGACATTGCTATCCTGAATTCAAAATACAAGATTCTTTAATCGACAACATTCCGCGCAAATAATTTCAGGCTGTACACGTACAAATTTTGATATTTTTATCTGCAATATCTTTCCCTCCTGTTCGCTTCTCATGAGACACTAAATGAATCTCGTATTTACCGAAATTACACAAAGATTGAATTGCAGAGTGAAAAGCATATTTATGTTCATTTCTTCTTTCGCGTTCAGCACTTACGTTAACGAAATTACACTGATATTTTCCTATTCTTTTATTTAAACGCCGATAAAATTTGACACGTGACATTTGTTTTGCTATCGCTAAAATCTGTGGTATAAAGTTGTTCCAGATAGTTGTTTTGATATTTACCGGATAAAATTGCTGGCGCGGCCACATATACGAGGGAACTGTATTGGTAAGTGTGCCACGTCTTCGTAGAAAACATTTCGGAGACGTTACATAAACCGCTTTTCTCGCTGACGTACGTAATTCGCGAGAACGACAAAAGGTGGCGATACGATTTTTCATCTGAGTCACGTTTGAGTCTTTCGGGAAAAGAGGAAAGAAGTCGTGTGTCCCCCATCGTCGTCTTTTTCGCGTTTACACACACGCGCGCGATTTTCTTTTTCTCCCAACATCAAACTAGAGATGCAAAGACAACGATGTGACACAACGTCGCTTTTTCATGAATATAAATATACATCTTTTTCTCTATTTTGTCTCGCTATGGCTGCGCTATGTGCTCGCGCCGATTGCGAGAAATCTCTCTGCGGACGGAAACAAGCTAGAAACATTGCAACTATCGAGACATAAATCATCTTCGCCGATTCTTTCCGAAATCTCAGCACTGCGCAACTTTTACAAGAAGATGTCACAATATATATACAAGATAAATATATTTATTAAAAATTGATAAAAATAATATGCGAAAATTTTAATTATTTTAATTATAACGAGAGTTGAAAATGTGGGAAAAAAGAAAGTTTATTATAACTGCAATTTATAAAGTGTTCGGAGGCAGTTTGCATATAGATCGCAAGCCATTAAATGTTACTTTACGTTGAAGCACTCATGGCTTCATCGGAGCGCATCGCGTAGCTCGTCAACTCATGGAAAAACGAATTACCGCAGGAAAACTCAACCGCGACTCGTCGAGTTTTCGTTTGGGAAAACGCGAATTGGAAGCCGTGTGCTCGGCGATATAACTTCAATCGTTGGTGTATTCAGTGCGTCGACGATCTATTTTCGATTAATCGAACGACACGCGTCGTCCTCCTGCTTTTCCGCTAACAGGAGAGCTCCCGGTAATGGAATTGTCAAGTAAACGCACAGCGAGGCCGATTCTCTAGAAAGCAAAACACATCCGGGAAAAATGTACTTGAAACGGTAGGAAGGCAATATATCGACGAGAGCACAGACGCGCTCACCAGTTTCCATTTGACAAACAAAATATGAATGGAAGGAAAATAGCGCAACGTTCCTTTTAATGTCTATTACATTCGATCTCGTTACATCGTGTGTGCGCGATTTCTATTTTCTTTCTTTAAGATATAACTTTTTTTTTTACAGCCGCTGGATTATTAACTTGATGCGCTTTTAATGGTAATTTTACATTATTTCATATGTGGTGCATTTCATTGCCTGTCTTCGAGTTCAACCTCGCGTTAGTGGTAATCACCGCGAATGAGATTCAAATATTGCTACACGCTAAAGATTAAATTCATCATAATTATTGTTGCAATTACATAACGTTAATCACGCTGCAATTCATACTAAAAATGAGTCAACAGCTAGATGTTATTGTTACAATCACGTGCAATTTCGTTTATATGTATGTAAGTTATATATGAGCTTCATCTCATTATGCTATATCAGTATATCTATAACTTGATTCATTATACTTGAACAAATTTTGGACAAATGGTGGACAAATTTCTGTGATTCCAAAATACAAAATTTACATATTCCGTAGTTCTTAATCTATTTGCATCTCTATTAGTCTATTTGCGAATTCAATAATGCCGTGATTTATTTACTTTATCAGACGCTAATTATGAACTTT